AGGGGCCTGTAAGCGTTCCTGCTCCTTCACTTTCTCTTACACACAGAGACCCTGCATAGGTCGTGACCTAGATGGTGGTGAAACAGGAAGCACAGTAAAGGTTGGGTCCCTGAGACCAGTGCTTCTATGTCTTACTCACCACAGACACTGAGCAGCCACCCTGCCCTGAAAGGTGGGGTCACTAGGTTCTGACACTTGACTTGTTTTTGTGTGGCAGCTGATCTCCGATGCAGGGTACCAAGGGGAGATCACCAGTGTGTCCACTGCTTGTCAGCAGTTGGAAGTGTTCTCTAGAGTGCTACGAACCTCACTAGCCACAATCTTGGATGGAGGAGAAGAAAACCTTGAAAAAAATCTTCCCGAGTTTGCTGTAAGTTGTTTACTTTGTGAATCTTGGATTAAGACGCGATTTGGGGTTTTGGGTTTTGAGCATGAAAAGCCCCTTCCTGCACCTGCACCAAGTGTGACTTCCCTGCTGGAGAGCTTTTCTCTGTACTTGTCAGTGCTGTGAGCCGCCACGCCCTGTCTCTCTGTCACCCTCAGAAGATGGTGTGCCACGGGGAGCACACGTACCTGTTTGCCCAGGCCATGATGTCCGTGCTGGCTCAGGAGGAGCAGGGTGGCTCTGCGGTACGCAGGGTTGCACAAGAGGTGCAGCGCTTCGCCCAGGAGAAGTGAGGCCATGCTTCTGCTTTCTGCCATTCCCCCAAAGCCCCGTGTCCCTTGCCCACAGCCAGGCCTCCAGCCCCTTCTATTCTGACATCTAGGTAAATCTGTATCCTGCAGAGCTGGAAGTCAGGTAGTTTTCAATTCACATGGAGAACTTGCCTTTCAGACTCTTGCTTTGATGACTGTTTTGTAAAGTACTTGATTATTCTTTAATTCACTGGGTGGGTAGTGCATGCTTTTATATGTTGGGATCATCAATAGCAAGTAAGAGTTTTAGAGTAGTAACTCATTGATCTGATTGTTACATTGTAGTCTGTCTTGTAGAGCAGTTGTCTCTTACTAACTGTATTTCCTTCTAATAGATCTTATTAAGATGTTTAAAAGTGTATGATTTCCTTTATCAAATCTGCAAGCTGTGTTGGAATAATTTTTTCCAGTTTGCTCTAAATGTTGTTTTTGTGTCATTTAGTCAGTAAACCAGTGAAGGATAGAAATATGAGAAAGAGATCCCAACAGTTTAAGGCATCAAATGGTAAAAAGGAAAGAGAGAAAGAAAAAGAGAAAAGAAAAAACTGGCTTGTTGCTGACAAGCTGTGTGGTTTTTCCATCAAGAGGCCATGACGCCAGTCAGATCACACTGGCCTTGGGCACAGCCGCCTCGTACCCCCGTGCCTGCCAGGCCCTCGGGGCCATGCTGTCCAAAGGAGCCCTGAACCCTGCAGACATCACAGTCCTGTTCAAGATGTTCACGAGCATGGACCCTCCTCCCGTTGAACTCGTAAGTGACCTCTGGCTTTAATAAGATGGGATCCCAGTGCTAACTGGCAGGGTCGCTTTGGAAAGTCTCTGCATTTCCCTAATTCTCTTCAGGCAGTGAATGCAAATCCCTGTTGCAATGGAAATGCCTCCATTATGTCTGTCCTTCCGCATCACATCTCAGCCTTTGGGTGTGGTAGAGCCCCTGCTTCCCACAGCCCTGCAGGGTCAATGTGTGCGTGCATGTTCACCCTCCTGCCAGCCCCCTTCTGGTGTGTGCTCCTCAGATCCGGGTTCCGGCCTTCCTGGACCTGTTCATGCAGTCTCTCTTCAAACCAGGCGCCCGGATCAACCAGGACCACAAACACAAGTACATCCACATCTTGGCTTACGCAGCAAGTGTGGTTGAGACATGGAAGAAGGTACTGTCAGCTCGTGTGGACCTTGAGGAGCCAAGTGTCCTCTGCTGTGGTATTATTGGGGAATTTTGGCTGTAAGGACTCTTGAGCCTGCCTATAGTTAGAAATGTTCTCTTCTCTTTGTGCATAAGATAGCGAAAGTGCTAAATGTCACAAACTATACGTAGCTTTTCTGATACTGCTGTGAAATGTGACTAAAGAAATGAAACTGATTGCCTAAGGGAGAGACAAACGCCAGTCTCGTTGGCTTTCAGTGTTCATGCTGTCTGTGACTTTGCAGTTACTTGACTGCAAAGGTCAAGTGAACTTGACCTCTGAGCTCAGAGATAGGGAAGGGGACCTACAGGGAGGAGTGGCCAATGCCAGGGTGCCTGACAGCAAGCCTGTGTGCATCAGGGTTCACCGTGTGCATGTGTTTTCAGAACAAGCGGGTGAGCATCAATAAAGATGAGCTGAAGTCAACTTCGAAAGCGGTGGAAACAGTTCACAATTTATGTTGCAATGAGAACAAAGGGGCCTCTGAACTTGTGGCAGAACTGAGCACACTTTATCAGTGTATTAGGTGAGCAGTGGAACCGATTCCCAAACTGAATCCTCAGGGCAGATGGCTCAGGTTTTCATATTAAAAGCTCACATAACAAAAGCTCCTGGGATACTTACGCACTGTGTTTATTTTTTTCTTTAAAACATGCAGAGAACTTTAAACAGGTTTAGCAGCATAAGTAATTTTCAGGTGTTTACTGGGCAGAAATCTGTTCAGTAAAATCTTCACAGATTAGATTTAGTAAAAGGAAAACCACCCAGAATTACAAAAATTGCTTTCAAGAAAGGATCCATTGGTAGTAAAAGTTAAAGCAGCAAAGTATCGCTTATATAGAAATGACTTAATGATTATGCCAGTTATGTCAATGTATGTCCTAGAAATAGTGCACCCTCTAAGCAGTTTAATCTTTCCTCTATTTATTTGTACTGGGGACCAAGGAAGCGTTTGCTAAGTAAAGGTAAACTTGAGCCTGGTCCCACCAAACTTGGAGTGTTTCACATGAACGGTCTTCCTTTTCAATCAGTAAAGTAGTTTGCATGAACAGAGGGAGACTCAATCTGTTGCTCGCTGTATACCTTTGAGAGCTGCTGACCTCCTCAAGCCATTTCCACTGTAAGCAACTCCTGGCAGCACACACTAACCCCAGTGCTCATGGCATGTTTGGGCCTTCTTTTCCTGCTCTCAGTTTAAAGGAGGTATTCTGCCTGATTACCTGTAGGTTTCCAGTGGTAGCAATGGGTGTGCTGAAGTGGGTGGATTGGACTGTGTCAGAGCCCAGGTACTTCCAGCTGCAGACTGACCATACTCCAGTGCACCTGGCGTTGCTGGACGAGGTATGGGGCCAGAGGAGCCACTTGCGCTGGACACAGCAAGTCTGTCTTTCCTATGCATGTATCATCTTGGTGAGCTCCGTAGAGACTCTATCCAAAACTAGTTGTTTCTATCCTGAGTGAGGATTCTTACTGATTGTGTAGATTTCTCAGTGCCTACTAAATGTTACGGAAAAGATGAGCATGGCCTAGAAGCTGGCCAGTGCTGGGTCCACATTAAAGACTCACCCTCAGCAATAACCTGGCTTTGGTAGCTATGACAGTGACAGGCATTCTGTGTCCTGAGAGGGAGCCTGGAGGCCTGACTGTACTTCTCAGCTAGGTTCCCTTTGACCTGTTCATAGATCAGCACCTGCCACCAGCTCCTGCACCCCCAGGTTCTGCAACTGCTTGTTAAGCTCTTTGAGACTGAGCATTCCCAGCTGGACGTGATGGAGCAGGTGAGCGGCGCCTCCGGGCCTGCTGGGCTGGGCTGGACTGGGCTGGACTGGGGTGGACTGGGGTGCACCAGTCCTGACTAACTCCTCTGCCCTGCTCTTCCACAGCTCGAGCTGAAGAAGACCCTGCTGGACCGGATGGTTCACCTGCTGAGCCGAGGTTATGTACTTCCTGTTGTCAGTTACATCCGACAGTGTCTGGAGGAGCTGGACACTGACATTTCACTCATTCGCTATTTTGTCACTGAGGTCAGCAGTGCGCCGTTGGTTTCGTGTTTCATGCTCTCTAGACTAGCAGTGCCCTTTTTAGCTTGATCTGGTTCATTTTGTGCCTGTGAGAACTGCTTCTGATAAATCACGGAGATGACGATGACAGCAGTTTTGCTTGGCACCTCCTACCTGCTGGAACTGTTATATGCTTTCCCCACATTACACCCTGGTGCCTTAGTGTTAGGGACTGATGTTGTCACCAGGGAAGCCAGAGGGGTGGGGGCTTATGTCCGGCTGGCTGTCTCTTCACCCTGTGGGTGTGGTGTTCCACACTGGCCGTCAGAGAAACCCCGCTTTCCCCCAACATAGGTGCTGGATGTTATTGCTCCTCCATACACCTCGGACTTTGTGCAGCTCTTCCTCCCCATCTTGGAAAATGACAGCATTGCAGGCACCATCAAAACAGAAGGCGAACATGACCCTGTGACAGAATTTATTGGTGAGGCCTATACGAATGTCCCTTTGCTGCAGTGGTACATGTCACCTTTCCCCTCCTGTTTCTAGCTCTGTGACTGTCTCTTGCTGCAGCTCACTGCAAGTCTAACTTCATCATGGTGAACTAAATCAGCATCCTCCAGGGCTGAAGCCGAACCTTCTGGAGCCTGGCTGTGGAGGACCCTTTGAGGAAGCTGCTGTTTGAAGAGGCTCAGTCAGCATCTTGGATGTGGGGTCTGCTGGGAGGGGCAGATAACTGTTTTCAGAGGAACATGTTAGCAGTGTGAGAATCTGCTATGATGGACAGTCCCTTCTCTTTGTTGTCAACCCAGTATGGTTCCTCCATTCTGTGTGCAGTGTTCATCTCCCTCAGCACAGGAATTAGGCTCATACTACCTCTCGGGATGAACCCAGTCAGCCCGAGGATGCTAGGAATTCAGAAACTGAGTCACTTTGCTGAACTGCTTACAAGGTAGACTTGTTTCCTCAGAAGAACCAGATTGGTTGGTTGATGTTTTTGTGATTGTTTCAATTTGCTAAGAACATGAAATAAATTTTTACAAAGCCTTTCTGCTGGGTTGGAAGGTATAGGTCCTGATGTTATGTTCTCACTATAAATAAGGCACATGTAGGCTTCAAGTTCTTGGGTGAAGACAATTTTATTCATCACTTGGGTAATCTGAAATTGCTACCTCCCTTCCTCCGCACTGATTCTAAGGTGACAGAACAACCAGTGATAAGTCTGAACCATTTTACCTCTTAAATGCCATTTTATAGACCATGGTTGCTAATAAGAAATACCAAGAAGAAAACTGAAGGAAATTGAGGCCACATGCTTCCTGTCTCAAGGGTCATTCTTCACTAGGGGGTGAGACAGTTGTCGAGGTAGAGCTGTCCTGTCCGGTGTATAAGACACCTTATTGTCAGATATTCTCAGGATGCTCTTTTAGCCAGAAAGCCAGCTTCCAGGTGTTCAGTGCTGTGACTGGTGCCCAGTGTTGACAGTCACTCCAGTCCTGTGCGTCAGGCTCATGCACATGCTGTAGGGTTCATGATCTCACATCTAGAAAACTGCCTTGAGAGACATGCACCCTAAATGATGGGGTCCCCAAATGCACAGCTCTCCTCGATAGCCAGGTTGTAGCTGGCGCCCTTCCCATCCTTGTAGGTGCTGGTCACTATCCGCATCCAGCCTCTCTCACCCTGCCAGAAGGAGAGTCAGCATCAGCTCCTGCACACACTGCCCCCCTTCTCCCCTGCTCTCCCGCCCCACAGGACACGTGTGTCTGGACCCCTGCACAGCCACCATCACTTTTCCCGTGACCCCCATCTGGAAATAGCCCTCTGTGAGGTATCTCAGTTCATAAATACTTAACACCAGAGCCCTGTGTCCCAATAGCTAGTTAGTGTGACAAAACATGTTGACACCTGACTTACGTATCTATTAATACATCTGTGGGAATTTAATACATTTCATCACTTCTGCATCGACCACTTTTCCCCATTTCATAATAATTTCTATGTCTTAAACCATTAATGGCTCATACAAGGTTTTAAAAATCAAGGGGCCAGGGATTTAGCTCAGTGGTTTCGCCGCCTGCTGCACAGGCACAAGGACCCGAGTTTGATCCCCAGTACCAAAAAAAAAAAA